TTCCTACTAGTTTGGGTGGCATTTTAGGTTTTGAGGAGTTGCAGTTGAGTGTCAATCAGTTATCAGGTATTATACCTCCTGAAAGTTATGTACTTGTGCTGTTGGGGTCCTAACTAATCTCTTTTTTCCCAGAAACATAATTGTTAGAAACATTACAAAAATGTTTTGGCATATAAAAAAGATTATGGGTTTATAATTTAACTTTGTTTTAAGATTATGGGTTTGCTGATTTGTTTGGTTGTTGTTAGGTGCTTTGATCGTGAGGTGAATCAAGAATTTGGAGCTGCAATCAGTAGAGAGGTACTGAATGTTGATATCGGATTCGCTCTTTATGTTGATTGGTGGTTTGATCAGTTGTGGGTGTTTTCTTTTTGGTTGGTTTGTTAGAGTCTTGTGTATTTTAGGAGGTGGTCGTGTTCTGTGCTTATAGACTCATAAATCATATGCATGCATGTGTGGCTTTTTGTTTTGTGGTGATAATAGAACTGGAATTGAATGTAGAGGTTTTAGCAGATGCATAAGGTTCTTTGTTTGTTGATTGAGGTTTGATTGGTGTCCCATGTTCTTGAACAGATTGGCACATATAGTCACATGCACGTATGTATGCTTTTCTTAATGGTGTTTAGAGCAGAAATTTTAATTCAGAAGTTTTAGCAGATGCATAAGATGGTAGCTTTGTTGGTTAAGTTGCCTTGATAGAGATGCTTCTGTTGTTCTTTCCTTGTGTGAATCACCAGGAACATGTGGATGCTTGAAGACTGTGTTGGGATTAATGTTTTGTGCGTGGAACAAATTCAATTGGTCGTTGTTCAATCGTGGAAAGCATGTTTTTGTGCTTGATATTCCCACTTAATTCCTTTCTTGGGAAACGACAAAGGTTTTGGATTATTCCTGTCGGTATTTGAATTCTGAGATAATAACATACTAACTAGTTTTCCGGTTGTGGGACATTTATTAACACGTTTCCTGAATTAAGAAGAATTGGGATATGGAATTCCTGAAAATGACAAATCTGCGGGTTACCCAAATTGTCCAAAACATTTTCCAGATGCATGTATATATGTAGAGCTGTTGGGGTCCTAACTAATCACTTTGTTCAACCATGTATATATGTAGAGCTGTTGGGGTCCTAACTAATCACTTTGTTCAACCATGTATATATGTAGAGATGCCGAAGCAAAATCGGGTGAAAAATCTGTTCAAATCAATCAAAGGGAGCTTTTCGCTTGCTCCAGAGCAGTCATCACATGCTCAGTCTCAGGCTCAAGCTTCATATTCATCTTCTGGTCGAGACTCTTTACGTCACACACAACCCATCATTCCATCTTCATCAACTAATAGAGTCTCGTCACAAAATGGCATTCCAGCTTCATCAATTAATAGAGTCTCCTCACAGAATCGCATTCCATCTTCATCAACTAACAGAGTCTCGTCACAGAATGGTATTCCAGCTTCATCAACTAATAGAGTCTCGTCACAGAATGGCATTCCATCTTTTTTGTATCTTCTTGCTGTTTGTTTGTTTTTAAAAAATCTTTTCTTGGATCAATATTATCTATACAAGATTAATATAACGTATTTGCTGATACTTCAGAATATTGATTGGATTCTTGAGATTTCTTTATATACTCATTGAACTCTGAACTTGTTGTGAGTCATTTAATGTTAAATATTTTTTAAAAAAATTCATCCTTTTTGGCAAATTCTGAGTTGAGTTTGTAAAAGGAAGCAAATTCTTTTCTGTAAAAATGATACTGTATATGTTCTGTTTTTTTTGGCAATGTAATAATTTTTATTACATTTGAGTAATAGTTGTCTATTCCTTGATGTTTGGCAAAGCACTGTCTGAAGTTTCACAAAGGGTAGAAATTTCAAGTCTTTTTTGTTGATTTAGTCCACTCGTGACTGTTGTTTGGTTTCTCAAAGTTGCCAGAGTTCTGCTTGCTATATTCTAATATTCTCTTTCGGGGAGCTTGCAGTTATTCCAGTGTGGAGTTTCTGTAATAAGCTCGTGATATTAGACTGACCATGAAGCTCAATTGATTGCAAATTGTTTCTTTGAATATGATGTTTCATTCATTGCTTCTTTATTTTCTATCCGGTGTTAGTGCATCCAATATAATTTTTAGTTGAAATGGTTTGTGGAGTTTCAATAGTAAATCATAATTCATCTAAAGTTCAGCAGTCCAATAAATTTCTTTAAACCTATGTTAGAAATGGTTTGTGGAGTTTGCAGATGGTAACACTATCTGTTTGATTGAAAGAAATGAAGTTATTGTTGATACAGGTACTTCCAGCACTTCAGAATCTACCCATTGACTCGATCCTTAGCTTTTGTAATTATATTTTGTCTCTCATGTAGGAAAGAATTGAAGAAATTCGAAGACAAAGACCAGAAACTCGGGCAGAAATTTCACCGA